CTCCTGAGGCCGCTGGAGCAGAGATCCTGAAGGAGATCATGAGGCTCGCGGACAAAACCCTCGACAAGCATGGTGCTGACAAAAAGAGGGTCATGGTCACCATCCCTGCATACTTCAGCTCTGTTCAGATTGACGCAATGCACCAGATGCTGAGATTAGCAGGTCTTGAAACATACCCCGAGGGTTTTGCAAGGGAGCCCACAGCTGCACTAGCAAACTGGTACGAGGGCGAGGCAAGCCCTGAGAAGTACTCTTGGTTCCTAGTGTTCGACCTCGGGGGAGGCACCCTGGACATCTCCATTGTGTACCAACAGGGGAAGTACAACCTGACCGTGGCAGGGAAGAAGGGCGACATGTTTCTTGGGGGAGAGGATTTCGACGATGCCATGCGAAAGCTGGTGAGTCTCCTGCTTTAGCAAAGCATGTGTGGCTAAGCAGAAGTGAACCGCTGTGCAGGGGAAAATGTCAGAGCTCAGATTGAGCAGCAGATTGTCACTGACATCAGAATTGGGGCAGAAAATGAAGCCTTTCAGAGAAGCTTGTGTGATCCTAGCAAGGGGTGTCCTGAATACAGCGGGTCATTTTGGTACTAGGCCGGGCCATGTATCGCATTCGTTGTAGCAACCTGATACGTTGCATTTTGGGTGAAAATGGTAATTTTGATGAACTGTGCACTTCCATGCAAACAGGTTCTAGACTCCTTCAAGAGGGACCACCCCAGTGCTTTGGAACCGTCGGCTGCAAAGGCTGCCGAGCTGCAGAGGGCCTGCAAAGTGGCCAAGGAAACATTTCAGGAGGACCCTGATTTGCAAGTCCAGACGATCACTGTCGCATCATTCTGCCGTTCACCTACGGGGGAGGATGTGACTTTGGACGTGAACGTCTCGAGGGAAGCCTACGATGAGGCGCTGTCTGGACTGCTGGAGGCGTGTATGCGCACAGTGGACGAGGCCATCAAGATCACGGGGGAGGCAACCATGGCAGGTTCTGACGTGCGCTCGGAGTGTCCACCGTTCGACCGGAGCAAATTGGACAAGGTGAGGTCAACGGCTCCTTCTCTGCTTGCTGTCAATCATCAGCTCTCAGTCCCAAAAATGGCAGTGCAGGCCGAAGAAAAGTCTGACCTTACTGCAGAACTGTGTCTTCAGATTGACACACTGAAAACACAGTAAAGAAGCAGAAACGCCCCTCACAATCCTCAGGCCTCCAAAACCTGACAAGCTAACGGATTCCTTCTTCTTCGACAAGCGGTGGATGCTTTTATTACAGTTTTCATTGAAAGTGTCGCAGGTTGCGTGTAATGCTTGATTTTGATCAGGTGCGTTTGCTGCGTTTAAATGACCCAACTTAATCCTAGGGAGATGGTATGCTAACAGCCAATGTTGCATCACTGGGCTTCAATGACCTTGGACCCTTGCTCTCAGCGCGCCCCGTCTCACACGGTATAGAGACCTCCATCCAAAGGCACCATCTCAGTCCCTCTGATGGGACCTCAGTGAATCAGTTCGCGAGGTGTTCCGCAGGCGTACTCGTTATGGGCCGAAGGTCTATGGCATGAGGAATCACAGCAAGTGTTGTCCTAAATTCAACAGTTTCTTCTGGTACCAGGCCAGCCTGGCGGCCAGAGGAAAGCCAGTTAACTCTGGTATTATTGCCATTTTCTGCTCTCTTTGTTTCCCCCGTTACGTTACAGGGGCGACAGTTTGGGCGAAAATATAAGTGTAAGCAAGTGATGTGCAGCAGTAATGTGTTACAGGTCCTCATGGTGGGTGGATCCAGCAAGATGTTGCTGGTCCAATCCAGTCTGCGGAAGGTTTTTGGAGAGAAGGTGGAGGTCTTGGACAGACCAGAGGAGGCCGTTGCGAGGGGAGCAGCTCTGATGGCATCCATCTCGGAAGCCAGACAGTCGGGACAGAATGAGCACGGCGTGTACGCGATGAGCATCGCGGAGTCGCTTCCGATCGGCATCGGGTTTAGAGTCCATGATGTCACGACTGAGAGATAGTAAGTGGCATTTGTGAAGCCTCTCCTCTACAGCCCAGGAATGAGTAGCCAGTCTTGGGAAGAAGTGGATTGGCGAGTGAAGTTCCAAACGCTCATTTGCAAGTAATCACGCCACGTGAAATCTCGGTTGACCCGCTCTTTTTGTCTGTACAGCCGCATGGAGATCGTTCTGCCAGCTGGGACACCTTTCGGACGGACGAAGAGCAAAGACAACTGCTATGTCATGGGAACGAGCTTCGTCCTTACAGTCCTTCAGGGCAACCGTGATGACTACGACGGCCTTGCTGAGTGCATTGTGGTGCAGCAGTTCCGGATCGAGAGGCCCAAGTGGAAGAGCGGGGGGAAGAAAATATTCCTGCACATCGAGTTCCACGTCATGGTGGACGGCAGTCTGAGAGTCAGGATCGAGCCTCCCAACAAGGAAGACGCGTGAGCGCCCAAACTCGCAACCAGATTGCTGCCAGGTCTTGCATTCTGCACACTTATTATTATTACCATTTTCGCCCAA